CACTAGAATGAAAATAGGCCACTCGCTTCATCTGCAAAAGAACGGTCTTGCTGAGTTATATTTATTATTCACTTGCCTCCAGGCATTTCACATGATCTCATAGAAGCTAGATCAGGTTGGGTCATGAATAGATGCTTGCTTTTTAAATCTACTTAACTCTATAAACAAAGCTAAAGGAATTGAATGGGATCAAACTCCGGGGTCGGCACAGGACAGGTTTACAATCGGTCAGTGCTAACAGCAAACATTTTTTTAACTATCTAAATTCTGTTAGAGCAGCCAGTATTTTGTGGGGTCTCTGATACAACACTTCAGGAGTTATCAAGGAAATTACTTCCCAAGTAAAGAAAGTGGAGGAAATGGAGGGAAGGTTTCACTGTCTGTTGGACATACCAGGAGAAAATTACAATCATGGACGTTATGGGAGACCATACACCTTGCCTGGGAAAGAAGAGGCAGAAGAAAGTATCAGTTGGTCCAGACTGGCACTAAGAATTATGTAGAATACTTACAGGCATATATACTTTCACTGATGACTTTCTCCCCTCATTATCTGCTCCATAGTTCTTGAATGAATATGTACAGTAGTACACAGTACGTGCAGAGATTTAACACATTTTGATATGTCCTATGTAAGAAAGAGTCCATGTAAGAGTCTTCCATGCCTTATGGAAGAGACTTTTTGAGCTGTGACATAAGATCAAAAGATAAATAGCATAATGTAAAACTAATTCTGACAGGGCCGTAATCCCAATTAAATGGAAGCTAAACTTCCATTGTGATGTGGACAACTGTAATGATATCAGAATGGGATATTCTGCTAGCAATAGTGACTAGACTGTTTTTCAGACAGTGAGTGATTTCTTGCTAATGAACAGTAGTGCAAATCTGCTTATAGCACAGTTATCTAAGCTTGAGAGGAATAAAAAACAACATGTACACAAGCTCTTCTAAGACCCAATACAGCAACCAATGCATAAGTATACTGGTTTTATATAAATATTAAATAAAAGTTCAGGTATTTGCTTCTAATTTTCTGCCAACCTGCCCAATTTCGATACATTCAAGTATGGCCATGGCAGTTTCCTTTTCATACTCCCATGGTCATATTTTCTGTAGCTATAACCTCAATTATCTTGTTCACTTACAATGAAGAAGGTTTTCTATGTGTACATTAAACAGATTTTCAAAAGGGCAACTGGATGGCAAAGCGTAAATTATCATGCATTCACAGCCAGTTGCACAGTTTTCTTACACTGTCCTGGTAACTACAGCTTTAACTAATCATGCTTAAACTGCATTAAAAAAATAATTAAAAAAAAAAAGAAAAAAAAAAGAGAAAGGTCCTTATGCCACGGACAGTAGGGCAAGATTTTAGGTCCTTCTTTTCTACGGAAACTTCAGAGTATGCTACTCTTGACAGCCATTCTACTCGACTCATAAACCTAAATATATTAAAAGTTTAGTTTTAGGTGTCTGTTCTCTTATTATCCTAGGTATTTACTATTTTAGAGGAGAGATGTTAAGGATAAGGGCTACACTTATGTCATATGCAGCTTACAATGTTTTTGATTTTACAAAATGTGAACATAATCATTCATTCATTATGAATAAATTCATAATTCATTTCATGGTAATTACAAATAAACAAAGCTGATTTATATTGGTTCTAAGACTTTTGTTCTACCTTAATTTTAGTAGAAATATTCGTTATGGATTGACTATAAGTCTGCTTCAGACATAGAAATAACCTGTTTGTTTGCTTTACTATCTAGATTTCCAGTGGGCAGTGCTTCCACTGAAAGTCTAAAAAGGAAGGTAACATTCTAAAATCTGTAAAATGGCAGTGTCATCAAATACCTGTCATAGTGTTTTATATGTAAACAAAAATCCCTCAAATGAAACTAGCAACAGTATTTTCCTCCCAATCTGCTGACAAAATGAAACCCTTATCAGATGGTCGCACCTTAATTTTGAAACTGTACAACTGCTGTTTTATCAGCAGATAGATATTCTAACTTCTCTAAAAATACCCTTTTCATTAGTGTGTGGAGAAGGATATAGGGAAGTGACAGCTAGCAATGTGTGAAACAAACTGCTTAGGTACTTAATCAAATGCTAAACTATCACTTTTAAATTGGACCTATGACATCTGTGTAGCACAAGGTCTACATTATGAGACAACAATCATCTTTTCCATGGTTAATAATTCCTTTGCATTACAACAGGTGTATTACAAATAATGTACTTTGCTAAATAGCTTCTCCCTCTGTGCACTTTTTAGGGGAGATAAAAGTTAATAGAAACTTTCCATTGAAACTGAAACTCTATGTGGAAGTATTCAGCCAACAACAAAGATTCAGAATAACAAGCGAATGGTCATGTTCCAGCTAGTCTAAGGTAGGATTTAGTTGCAGTTCTTGAAAGAGTTTGAATAACATGTTTAATCGATTCATAATAGGTCTGACCTTGAGTGTTTCTAACACAGATGATACTTTAGCAGAACAATAATGAGACAATTTGCCCTTGCTCCCCTATAAGTTTACTATGTTCAATGGAAGATCATGAAGGGAATACCCTACATCTGACTCCCTGTGGTATAAGAGATTAAAAAATAAACAAACAAAAAAATTAAGGTGGACTGTCTGTGTATATCAAAGTAATTTAATTCATATTCTGATGTAGCTCACTCAGATGCTGCCTTTCTCATTCAGCCTCTGCAAAAGCCCCTGTTACTGCAGTAGGCTTAACAGAGCTGAATAAAGACTTGTTAACCTTGAGGGCTGCTATAAGGTTGGCTTTCCAGCTGGTCTCTATGTGATTATTGGTCCATTGCCTTTTGCCAGCAAGTACATGAAGTTTCTAGAATTTTTTGTGCTTTCAGCAAATGTTTGCTGAGGGGAGCAGCTCATCCTTAATTGTGACAGAGCTAGCCTGTTCTAAATAGTGACAAAGGAAAAATTACAGTGCTAGACAAGCAAATTTATACCATTGCTCTTATCACAAGTTCTTTACAAAGAAGGATTATTTCATAAACTGTACAATTCTGAAATTTTAGGCTTGCATATTGTAAAATGCCAGAGGCTTTCAATTATCATTTATTTCCTGCACTTTAAAGACAGAATTGAGGAAGATGCAAAACTCTGAGGAACCAGCCCAGGAGCAGGATTCAGACAGCAAAAGAGATAAAGCAGCTGGTTTGCATTCTAGGAAGCTAACAGTAAGATAAACAAATCTTTTATTTTGTAACAGGTAGTCTGCACAAAAGCAAGGAAAGCAAAGTCACTGTGTCAGCGTGTAAAGGCAGAACGCAGCAAAGTTTAGAAATCAACAGGGTTGTAGAACAAACAAAAAAAAATAATCCGATGGAAAATAAATCTCCACCATACATTAGTATAGAAAATATCTGCAGCAATCTATCTGAAGTGGTGTTTAGTTAAGCCATATTTCATGTAGGGCCTGATATGTACTTCTATTTTTGCATACCGATTAACAGAAATGATTGCATTAAATATAAATTCATATTACATTGGAGAGACTTCATCAATGTGCATACTTATTTCAGAGCTGTTTAAAAAAATGATACAATTCTCAGACTTACATTTGCTAATTACAATGAATTTATTTTGAATCGTTTATTACACTTTTATTGGCACTTAGGTGCAGATCCTTGGAATTTAGGATACTAACTGCAAACGCATGCATCATAGTTCAGTTTACCTGTGGTGGGGAGGACAGTTTGGGAAAGAGCAGTGAGTATTTATTATTGACTGATCAGGGGCATGTAATTCAGAACTTCCAGGCTACTGAGAGAGAACCGTAACGAGGGAAATTTCCTCTAGCTTCAAAGTCAGTTGTTTTTAAATGGCGCTTCAGATCAGGTTTTTGGTATCCAAAACAGTGTATTCAGTAGCACTGAGAGGCACTGCAATGCTGCTAGTCAAAATACTTTTCCTGGGATGTCCTTTTGTTAACACTGTGTTACAGAGATAGACACATCCTAGGCCCTTATTATGAAAATTCAACAGCAGTGGGGGTCTTTAATATACCCGTAATCCCAGAGGATTAGGATAGGATCCAAGGACACCAGGGTAGTAATCATGACACAGCAAAGCATGCACCTAACTGCAGAAGCACAGGAAGGAAAGGTGTGTCTTGCTTTTGTGGTGACTCAGGTTGTACAGAAACAAATGGGGGCATGCAGCTCTTCTAAAACCTGATCCACCACATTCAAGGTTTCTAACCCTAGACTTTAACAGCAGTACTTTGAAAGACAACAAATTCCATCACTAAATGACAATGTTTCAGGTGTTCACTAATCAGGGCATGTATCTATCATATAACATTTAAATTGTTTGCTATTATTATACAGATATATATTTAGAGGAACAACAGCCAGGATAAACTAGTCAGCACCAGACCACGTTTTCATTTGCCAAACAGCAACATACACAGTTACTAATTTTAGTGTATAATATGAAAATACCTTGGCTTCATTCAATATTTTACAATTATTTGTAAGGCAAAGACAATACAGATGGGTTTCTTTATACTTAGTGCATTAAGGTAGTACAATAAAAAGTCTGCAAGCTTTTCTAGAATGACCTAACCCAAATAAGAAACATCTAATTTTTATAACACTAGTAAATGGGATAGACATTTTCATTTATCCAACCTCTTAGTAGATGAGCATCGATTTCTAAACCTAAAATATATTAAGAATAACGTTTGTCTAACTACTAAATTGATCTCAAAGGACACTTAACAATAGAAAGGCAACACAATTATTACAAACCTAATTTACAAACTTGTTCACCATCTTAACTTCTCTTGGTGATAGCAGTACTTCATACCAGTGAGAGAATTATAATAGTTTCCTATATTCAGACTTGTTTATGCCTGAATATTGATTTGATTGTTGTCAACCATACTGATTTTAAAGAACACAATATGCAAAGTATTTACAACAGTAATTATCATTAGTTCTAATCATCACTTACTCTTGATCCTTTTTCTGGAAAGCACCGACAAACTGAACAATCCTGCCCCCCACATGGGTCAATATATGCATATCCTCCCTAAAAATTAAAAGTGTGTGGATTTATTAACAAGCAACAGACAACAATCACTTCATCAAATATTGTCAACTGGACATAATATTCAATTAGATGATTTTTAAGGCAAAATACCTGGCTACCCTTGCATACCCACAGGGCAGTTTCCTTCTGATAAAGAAAGCTGGTATAGCAGCAAACACCAGAGTATTGTGTGGATCTTCAGCTTGATGCATCTGAACCTTTTCCAATGTTTGCTTAATAAAATACACACATCAATACTACATTTAAAATCCTCCCAGCCTTCTTGGATCTCTCATCAGCATAAACATGCTGGCAAAGTAGAGGCAATAAGCAAAAGCTTATTACTGTTGTTGTGCAAGGTGAAAGGTATTACCTGCGAGTTATGTTAAGTAATGCTAAATATTACAGTTAAAGACAACTAAGGAAACAGGATACATCTAGAAAAAAATTTAACAGAATCAGAATTTAATTTGTAATATCATGAAATGTGTAACCCATCATGTTGGGGTAGGAGACTGTTAACAACAACTAAATGATAAAAGGCAAAACAGGCTGAAGAGCCACAAGCCCATGCAGCAATAAAGCTCTGTATTTAATTCTTCTCTATTAAATGAAAAGAGAAGCATGTGCATGGTGTAATTATGCATTGCCTACTATTAACTTATTTATTTCTTGTATTAAAACTTCTGTTCTTGTCCTCTTAATAGCACAGAAATGACTACATTGTTTCATTAAATTGCTATGTAAATTCAGTAGTTTTATTGTGCAGTAAGTGAATATGATTTTATTATTATTTTCTGTTTCCTAAAGTATAGTATTAAATGTATACCAATTATACACACCACATGCATGTATAAACTCATGGTGATTGAATGGTTGGAATGTTCACTAGGTGACATTATTTTTTTTTTTAGCAAAATTCTATAAATGATCAAAGTAATTTCAAAAAGGATGACAAGGACTTAAAAGATTTAATAATAATTTAGGTAAACAGGTCAACAGTGATAACATGAAAATATTTGCTCATTGTGGATTTCATTCTTATCAAGGTCAACACTGTTTTGTTACTGGTTTTAATAACCAACAGAACACTACAGGTTAGTACTTCAATTTTTCAAGGAGAAAACACTGACAAATATTAGATAAGGAACAAAAATTCTGTTCTAGCTACATTATTTTTAGAGTATCTGGTACTCCCAAAGCTCAGAACGACCAAGAGGGTGTGACAGTCTCTCTCACAGACTGCTTCTCTTTCACACACTGGATTTCTCATGAAATTACTAATCTACTCCACACTAGTCTCTCAGATAGTTATTGAAAACTTGCCTCTACTGGAATGTCAGTGGAATGCAAGTTCATAATAACATGTAAGCTGTTACCCTTTGTTCTAATTGAACACATTCATTTAAAAAAATATTTCAATTTTCAACAGTTAACTAAAGAGAGATTTCTTTGGGGGAAAAACAACAAAAAAGAGCTTTAAAATACTTGAAAGAAGCAAAGAGGACAGACTTGAAAAAGGTTTCACTGAGGGCATTGCGAATATAAGGTTAATATCGAGGACAGTACAGAGAGGAAAATAAAGTAGATATTGAGGCTATATTAGCTGTGAAATTTTGGCTTCAGAGAGATGGGAATGTACATCAGGAGGCCAGTTTAAAATCAGGGCTAAGGTACAGAAAAGGGCATGAAAGCTAGAGTTCGATATACGCTATAATGCAGAACCATTGAAGGGAACTTTGAGAGAAAGGAGACAGATTCAGTGCATGAGAGAGGGTTTTTTTATGTGCAGCTTTCCAAAAGTATCTAAAGATGCTAAAGTTAGAATCTAGAAAAACCAAACGAGAAAATTATAAAATAGTTAAGCTGAGCAACCGGAACAGAAAGGAAAGTTAGAACTTCAGAAATACTGAAAGAAATGTCACAGTTTTCCCACAGAACTATACATCATCTTGATGTACATAATACTACTTGTTTGAACCATATGATCGTATTGATCACCTGTTTAAAGTAAATATGAATATCACTTACCCCATCAATTTCTTGTGCTGAAAAAACAATCAGCAGCCACCTGATTTAAAAGAAGGAATAAGCTAAATTAAAACTAAATTTGCAACCTCCAACCTTCACAAGAATGTTGCCTCTAAAAAGTGGGAACTGTGTACACATGATTAAGTCCCATTTAGGGTTGGGATTATATAGTTAAAAGAATATATTTATAAGGGGTATGCACCATCAGGAGGTGGTCAGCACATGTTATGTATTTGTCTTTTTGTATTTGTGTACAGAGACTGAATACAAACAGATAGATACAAACAAGACTATGTAAAAGCTCTTGTAACTTCCCCCTGGTAACCTACTTCCAACCCCACAATTAGGAATGGCCAGAGAGGAACCATTCCTGAAAAATTTCTCCATGGACACCATGGGGTGAAGATTGAGCAGCAACAGAGATGATCTGCATCTGCCCCAAAATGAGTTAGCTGGTGCTCTTTTCTTTTTCTCAGAGATGGAGTGAGAAAAGGCAGGGAGCAAAGCAGCACTCAAAATAGCCACATGATTCCAGAGCAGCTGTTGGGGAAGCCAAGCTCCATGCCAACCATTGAAAGTGATGGATTATAAAGTTGAAACCATGCCTTTTATTATTTCTACATGCAAAAAAAAAAATAATAGGCTAAGTAAAACCAAAAAGATAGACCCAGATCTCTGCAGCAATACAGGAAATAAGCATTATCATGAATAATTATTATCCATACTAACATTAATATTAAAGAGAACTAAGGTGTCACTCATTATATGAATTGATACATTAGATATGGCAATAACGTACAGACTACTGTGTGTTACTCTCCAAACTGTAGTGAAGCCTGTATCAAAATTACTCCAACCCTGCAAATGCTGAAGTATTTAGTAAATTTTCCAAAGTCCTATTGAGATCAACCTCTGTTTTTGATTTTTTATTCACATGGTCAAGTCTTTGGAGCATGGAGAACTGTGCCAGCAAACCCATGATTACTCTACCTGATTATTAATTATTCATAGATTCAAACTGCAATTTATATAACCCATATGTGCTGATAAATTCAATACTGACAAATTTAACTTACGAATTTATGTACATTTACGCTATACACTTTTTAAACTTACATTGACAGCTACTTTTTTCAAATACACAGACTTTAAAGAAACAAAATATCAAAATAATTGGGGTAACTGAAGACAGAAGCTCATACTGTCTCTCGCTAAATGAGAAACAAAAGACTGATTAAACAATGGAAGATTGTCAGATGATCAGCTACAGCACTAAATGGTGGAGGAGTTTTGTGCATTCCAGTAGTTCAGCCTTTAATGCATCAAATAAGTTTGTGTAAAAAGGATTTAACTTTCACAGGAACATTTCAAGCAGGTAGCAGGCAATAGCAGAGGTTTGTTCTTTGATTGTTACTAATTTAAGGCCATTTCTTCAGGCTGTCTCTGGAAATATATTTTCTTATATCAACGTTGGTCAGGTGTGAGTTTTCATTTAAGAAAATGCAAAGTTCTCACAAAGCCCTTGCACAACTGAAATGGAAATCTGATGATGCTGTTCTTGATGCACAGTGCTGCAGTCTCCCCTTTTTCCAGTCACATATGAAAGGCATATGTTTTCCAGGTTGTTCTATGTCATTTCAAAATCCCTGCCTCCTGAAGCTATACAGACATTGCCTATGTACTCAAACCAAAACAATGCTCTTAGACGTAAGTCATTAACAAATAATGCAGAAGAAAGCAAGAGCAGCAACCTTGGAGAGAGGGTTGAGATGGAAGGCTGCTACTTCAGGGAACACGTGAATAACAAGCAGCCTGGGTTTGCACAAACCAAATAAACATGAAAAAGACACTGGAGAGAGCTCAGGCATATTAGCACAATAGAAGACTGCCAAACAGTGAGGGTGTCAGGTTCAACAAGGTACATTTTCTGGGCCAGGTTCCCAGCTAGGAAAGCACAATTTCACATTCCTTAAGAGCCCAATGCATGAAGAAGGAAAATTATTGATATTTCCTAGAAGACATTATCGAGAAGATCCCACATACCACACAAAATTCTGGGCCACAGTGATCCTAATCTACTTCTAAGGATCATTTTCCTCCAGAAAGAACTGCTGCCACAGCTGCTAGCAGGTATTTCCATCAGTCTCTAAAAGTTTTCTTCATGCTTTTTAATAATTGTCCCTCAAAATTATTCTGGCACAGGCATTCAGGTTTGAGTTGGTCATTATTTTTCTTCTCCAAATATGTTCAGCACTAGAACATAGCAATATCTTTCCTCTTAAAACAGACTCAATTTTAGTTCCTCTTTGTTCCTATTTAAATAGTGTAATACCTAAAATTCAAACAGTATAAACTTATAGACCAGCAATCATAATCAAATACAATAAATTATCATATATCAAATTTATGACAGGCTACAAATTATTTAACTGGTGATTTCTTATTACTGTTAAATTGACAGCTAGGAATATACCTCAGCGACTCTAGTTAAAAAATGTAGTGATCTGTAAAACTCACCAGGCAGCTGCAATAAGCCACTTAATCCGTTCAAATGAATCCTTTGTTAATGCCATTCACGCTGATTGAGGATCTGTATATGCAGCACTTTTCTTTCTTTGATTTTTTTTAAACAGCAGGTCTTCTCTTTCCTTCTGTTTGTGGATGGTCTATAAACACTGTTCCATACTGTTGTTGTTTTCCCCTCTGAACCTGTTTATATTAGAATATACATCTGATGTACATACATGAATACTTACTGGATAACCAAAATATGTCTTAACCATTTACATATGTCACGCTGCACAGTTTTATGTTGGCACCACATTGTATTATTCCTATTTAGGCCGCATTTCATCAGGTATCCAGTATTTCAAGGGGACTAGATATGAAATTGCAGATAAACATATAAAAGGGTACAAGATTTCAGCCTAGAAAAAAATAGTCTTCATTCGGTCTTTGAAATAATCAACAAATTGCATCTCACATTATTAGAAGTATCTTCTGCAAACTGAGCTGGACTGGTGTCTATGTGTACATCAGAGAAAAGGAGGACTACTCTGAATGCAGAATAAGCTGCATATATGTATGTATTTTCAGCTCAAGATCTTTACCCATATGCATGGATAGATGACAATCATTGGAGATGTTACCTAGAATTTTTTAGCTTTATTTTTAGAACATTTTTCCACAGCTTTTGCCAGGATTTAGGAAGCTAGAAGCCCTAAGCATAGGACTCACCAGAGGCCTCTACAATCCCAGCCAGTCAAATTTTACATGCATAAATTAACTACACAGTGAATCTGTGACCTCTGACTTAGGTCCAATAGCATATACGGTGTTTTGTGTGCAAACGTGGTGCACAAAACCTTTTGTAAGCTCAAAGCTTCACAAATCCAGAGAAATGGCTTCTTCCTGTGCAAACTTTTACATCTCCCAAATAAGAAAAAAGCTGTAATCTTTTGGAATAAGGCATATCTGGCAAATGATTCACACTGGTTATTTCAAACTGAGGGTTTAAGAAGCTTTTCCCAGGCTAGCACAGATTATCACAGGATTTGGGTTTTTTTCCCCCCAAATGTGGGGAGGTTAATTTTGAGGAGACTGAACGCTGACTAGAATGAACTGACAGGGGTTCACTTCCTTTGGAGAAGTCTCCTGAGTAAGCAAAGACAATCAGTTACTGAGAAGGGAGCAAAGACGTGAACCCGCCTGTTCTCTGATAGCTGTTCAAAAAGCAGCTATCTTTTCTTTGTAAAACAAATGAGTGTACAGTTCCTGAAACATTACTGCCTTGCTTTCCGTTATTTAGTGTAGCATATTTCTAACCAGAACTAATCTATAAATAATACTGACTCCTATGTGTATGCAGAGGATATTCATATCCCGCAGTATGAAGAAGATACTTTGAAAGCTACTGTGTACTAACAAATAAATACCCTCAGGGCAGCCAATCCATGCTGCAAGATCACACCCCATATGTACTGTACAGTACTCCATAATCTGCCAAATTCTTAGTCTGTTTCTGTGCCCTAGTTCCCCATCTGTAAAAAAAAGTAAAAGAGAAAAAGAGAAAAGAAAAAACCCAACAATACTGCTGCTAATAAAATAATAACACACTCAATACCACCAAAGGAATAGATTTTATAAAAGCATCAGCAAACCTCAGCTCATAAAATCCTCAAAAGCCAAAGGGGTTAAAGCTGGCAGTATAACATAACCAAGATGTTTAGTTTCTAGGCAAAAAGGATGGCAATTTCATTCTTAGAGACTCTGATAAAATAAGACTACAGGACATGAGGCAGACATACAGCTACAGTTACTGAGATGTAAAAAAAATAGAGCAGCCCTAACTATATTCTCAGTACATCTAAAGAAACCAACATCATGTGTAACAAGACCACTGAAGTTACAAAGTCAAGAATTCAGAAGTTCAGTAATAAAAAATAGGGTTGTGTACTCAATTTTAATGTAGTTCTTTTCTGCATATGATTAGGGTAGTCAGTTTAATCACAAGAATACATACACTGTTTTCGATAGGACTTCTGCCTCATACATGACGGACATATTCCATACTCTTTTCATCCTTTTCCTTAAGCCCTATTTTTTTCTTTTACAGTGTCCTATGAAACTCTGCACTTTATACTAAATTCACAGAAGTGTAATGTTTCCCATATAAATATTACTTCTCTATAAAAAGAGAAAACAGTTATCCTTGTTTTACCATAGAGTACCAAGGAAACAAAATTAAAGCTAAAATCATTAAATAGCAGTTGCTGCAAAAAAAAAAAAACAAACTAAACTTCAACTTGTTGCAGCTTTCAATTGCTTTCTAGTATTAAGGTTAACTTTTCTGTTGTTCATGCACTAGTGGTTTATTCTGGTTTTGTTTTTTTGGTGTTCTTTTGTTTGGTTGGTTGTTTTGTCTGTTTATCTGTTTGTTTGTTTGTCTGTTTAGGGAATGTTGGGGGCATTTTTGTGTTGTTTTTTTTTGTTTGTTTGTTTTGGGTGGGTTTTTTTTATTTTGTTTTGTTGGGTTTTTTTTGTTGGTTGGTTGGTTGGTTTTTGCTTGTTTGGATCTTTTTTTTTTTTTTTTGTAAAGTACCTCTACAGGCAGCTGCAGGTACTTTTTGACACAAGCATGCCTTCACGGCTGTTTTGTCAGACAAGAGCATCTCTTTAAGTTTGTAGCTCTCTGAAGGTACTACAGACTGCAACAGTATCACCAACAAAGTCTGCATTGAGGTTTCATAGACTTTCTTTGGATGGATGTCAGCAATTATAGTAATAACAAGCAGGAGAGAGACTATCAGTGGCTGATCTTACCTTTGTTCTGCCTCAGTGCTACTTTGAAGTCATGTTTCTGTCCTAGAAACTCACATTAAAGGCATGTATGCTTCTAAGTGACTGCTTCATAATGCAACATTACTTGTTGTTTCTTAACTGTAAAATACATAACTACTATCGGGTTGGGCTGTACTACATAGCAGCCAGCTGCTCAAGGTCAGTGAAATAGGTGGCACTGGGATAAGACTGGGCCGAAAGAGGTCTGCTTTTAAAATGTTGTGTCTTCTGTTGCATCCCCCTTGTTGGCATTTCCTATATTTGCTTTGAGCTTGATGACTTCTTTTTATTTTGAAATTTCCATACAGGGTTTTCGTTATTTGAAAACTAACTCAATATATTTTTATTACAGCAGTAGTTACACTCACTAGGTGTTCTGTCTCCTAACAGTGGCCTGCCTGCTTTCTTCCGGTATTTTTTTGGCCTAGTATTCAAGAGCTCTCCTTTTAAGTTCTATCTTCTTTATTGAGAGTCATTGTTCATTCTGCATCTAAATTAGCATTATTTCTGAGGACTGACCACTCTCTTCCACTATAGTCTTGCTTCCTCTCATGTAATTTTGCACTATTTCTGAGGACTGACCGCTCTCTTCCACTATAGTCTTGCTTCCTCTGACCTTGTTATCTCATAGAACCCTGCACCTTTTGTTTTCACTTTTGTGGAAATGAGTCTCTGCTACCTTCTGTCTATCACCAGTTCTTCTAATACTAAATTTCAATGGTGGATTTAGGTACTTGTAATTTATAGGTGCTATGGCTTATAAACAACTGTAGACCTCATTTTTGTCCCCATTACAGTATTCTTTTGTAAAAAATGTAGCACTGTTACAGTCAACAGGTTTAGGAATCTGACAAATAAAATCCATCAGTTTAGCACTAACCCTAAGACACTATTCTTCTACATGGTCACCATCAATCTGGCTAGAAAACGGGGTATTGTCCACTCTTTCTCTCTGTGTATTGCTGTCTACACCAGCTTTCTCTCACTGATGCTTGAGATTTTAGAGCCAAGATGATAACATCTGTGATGATGTACAGGATCTTTGATACTGAACATATTGCTCTGCTCTTCCAGAGATGTGTTCCTACTGCTAGTACTAAACTAGTAGAGATCCAGCTCTAGTCTCATGCCTGTAAGATAAGCTGTTTTACAAAGTTCTGTGTTTAGCTTTATAGCTATGAAAGGCTCTAGATCTGTACTGCATGAGTAGTCCTAAACAGATTTACATACATAATTATATATTGTTGCTTTTTCTGTATCGCTTGTAGTATTTAATAGAAACCTGTAATGTGGGATTTACTGTCCAGCATTCACAAACACTGCAGATAAGGTAAGATCACTGGGGCCAGACTGGCCAACATATCTTTAAATTTTTATCATCTCAGAACATCACTTTATTTGGTGAGATGTTACCTTTACCATGCGGTGCTTTTGTCAGTAACATAAATGTGCTAAACTTTACATATTGCCAACAATCTACAAATCACACTTTCATTCAGAAAACCTTTATATCATGCTAAGCTACGTGGAAAGCCTGAGGAGAAACATTTCATTACATTTATGCAGTGAGCAGCACTTGTCCCTTCTGGGACTTCTTGCTCTCCGCGGTCTCATCAAGAAACACTTGACGGAGAGCGCGCTGCTGAAAGGAAAACATTCTTGACAGTGCCCGGGCGCGCCCCGGGCAGCGGCGGGATGGCGCT